GGGGGTTTACGCTTTAGGGGTATGAATTATCCAATCTCTCCATACAAAAGCTTAAATTCGGAGAGGCTTCACAGAAAATGACGAGTCACGGTGGAGGTGGAGCTCGCGGCGAGAGGATTCATACAGTACAGCCGGAGAGGGATTTGGTTGCGAATTGGGAAGTTGATTTATCGGAAAAGCTAGAAGAGTATCTGCTCAAAATTTGTACCGGAGAAATCACCGGAAAGGAAGAAGATGGGCAGATTCCAGTGAATTTCGCCGAAGGTTTGTGATTATGCTTCTATTCAGAATTGGATTTCATAGCATTTTGATTTTAGGGTCAATGAAAAATTGGGTTTTTATTTTTATTTTATGTTCTCGTGGATCTGTAGCTGCTTTGCTGCTTCAGGGTTCGGTCCAGGTTTATAGCAAGAAGGTGGAGTACTTGTACAATTTGGTTCTACGTACGTTGGAGTTTCTATCCAAGCAAAGGTTCGTCTTTTTTGCTCTCTCTCTCTCCCGAATTCCCTGTTTTTTCCTAAGTGAATAACCATAGCTAATCGAACTTGTTAAAAAGACCAGTACTTGTGTTAGATACTCCAAAAATCTCAGGGTTTAGGGGATAAATTCGATTTCATCTTTCTCTATGTGTATTGGTTTGTTTTGTGTTCACAAATGAAGTGAGTTTATACAATGGCTGCACCTTAAAAACGCATTTTTTTCTATAAAGGTGCTGTGTCTAAGCTGTGACTTGATGATTTCTAAATTTTTTTGTATCCGAGCTGCTAATTTTCAGTTCTAGTCACCTTATCACTCTCTGGATTTCACTTGGAAATTTGCATCCTTAGCCACTTGCAATTCTTGGGGAAATGATAGTGACCATGTATCAGAGTCAAAGAAAGGCTATATATATCACAATTTCACAAAGGCTATATATTGAAAAGTAAAAAATGATTCTCTTATTGATAACTGGTCCTTGTTATTCTAAACAGAGATCAAGAACAGTCCAAAGGTGCATCAAACGAGGCTGAGGCAAGCTCCTCCCGTCAGGTTGATGAAGAAGAAAATGATCTCATCTGGAATGTAGATGACATCCCAGGTAGATAAAAGTTCTGAAATTTAACATGATATCCTAGTGCCACTCAAGAGAGCAGATTTATAAACCAGATGTTGTTAATAATATAGTGGACGCAAAGAATAGCTTGGACAGCTCGGTTGGCGGAGATTCCTGTCCAAGTCAGTTTGTCAAGCCTCCGGCAAATCTAGTCGTTCTTGAAGGTGATTGCTTGGATGCTAGCGGTGACGGAGGAGAATTGGAATCCTATCTGGTATAACATATTCTTCCACCTCTCAGCATTGGAGAATAAAAAGAGCTTGGGGTTTGAACTGCTTTTTTAACTTTCATGTCTTGCAGTTGGCAACTACACATCTCTACCGGGATTTTATTCTATTAGACCCATGTGATGCTGTAGCTGTAAATGAATTTTTAGGTGATAACTATGCTGGTAAAGGAAAGTACAGTGCACACAGAGGCAGCTCAGTTCGTAAAGGTTTTCATTCACCAGTAGGACGTTCTGGAGGAAGTGCTCGTAGATCATCTGTGGGAAAGAATCAAGGCACCAATTTCAACATGTCACCCATACATGGGAATACTCCCGATGTTAAAAACTGTGACCAAGGGTCTCAGCCTCCTCCTGTCTTTGGAGACGATGATCATGGTTTTGACATGGATAATGAACATGGAGGAACCATGGATTTGAGTGATACAGATGCTGATGAAGATGATCCGTGGAAGCCATTGAATCCCTATGAACCAGGGAAGTTGAAAGTGAAGCCTTTCAAAAAAGGTTGGGAGATGGCGGCTATTATTTTCTTGATTGATGTCATATGCTATATCTTTCGATCTGTGCCTTACATCTGGCTCATGTTATACTTTAATTCTTGAGCAGTAAAAACTTTCAGAAAGATTGGAGGGGGCCATACGAAGGACCAACTGACTTCCATGTTTCCTCTTGCTAGACCCAATGGTCCCATCAGTACAGAGCTCAGTGGAATTTGGGAGAAATGCCGTTGTGCTAGTAAAGACGAGAGAGAACAAGAAGACATTCCCTATTATGAGAAGGTCTGTGTTTCCTATAAAAATTAATCTTATATATTTATGCAGAACAAAAACCTGATAGTTTTGGTTTCAGCTTCGAGCGATGCTCGTGAATGGAGGAAACCAACCTTCTGATGCTAACAGCAATCACAAGGACGGCGATAAGGATAATTATGATGAAGCTAATAATGGTGACTTCCATGATTTTGGGGACCATGATGGTGATGATCATGAACATGCGTTCATGGATGAAGATGGTCTCAATATGGTGAGTAGTTCATTAATTTGATCATATTCCGACGGAGTTATATGCAACCCTTATCCACTCGTTCGAATTCATGCAGAGTGATGGTGGAGCTGCAGAGTTTCAGAACCACGATGGATTTGGAAACGACGGATCACAGTGTCAAGAAAGCTTGGAAGATCTTTGCCGCTCACACCTGGTAACTACATTGGTTTGATTTTATCCTATGGAATCATAGATGTTCCAATTCAAGCTACATATATCAACTTTAGCTAGAAAAAGTTTGTTTTTATATTCATTTTCTTATGTAAGTTCAATGTTCTGTCTTCTGTAGGATGCTCTTCTTGCTAACATAGCTAAAAGTGAGAAGCAAACGGATCTGGCTACTCGGGTTTCAACATGGAAACAGAAAATCGAGCAAAACCTAGAAGAACAAGTAATCTCTTTCTTCTACTTTTGGTGACCATTCACTTGAAGTCACAGAGATCTGATGCATGTTCTAAATACTCTTGTATTGTTCTATGACCAGGAGCTGCACCCTCCTTTTGACATTCAAGAATATGGAGAAAGGATTATCAACAAACTGACTATTATAGAGAGTGGAAATGTCGAGACTTTTACCGAACTCATGAAAGACCAAGAAAAGCACGATGTAGCTCGGGCTTTCTCCGCGCTTCTCCAGTTGGTAAGTCACAGAGGAAAACATTTTCTGTCTGTTCATCAACACAAGTAATCAACATTTGAAGCATGCTTTGCACAGGTGAACAATGGAGACGTTGATCTGGAAAAACCTGGCAACTCCACAAACGAACCAATGTGTTATACAGCGGTTAATCCTTTCAACGTTCGGTTGCTCAATGATCGTAACAGAAAGACT